GTTGGTCCCGTCAAGTGTAATTAAATGACTTACGAGAGCCGTTGGTCCCGTCAAGTGTAATTAAATGACTTACGAGAGCCGTTGGTCCCGTCAAGTGTAATTAAATGACTTACGAGAGCCGTTGGTCCCGTCAAGTGTAATTAAATGACTTACGAGAGCCGTTGGTCCCGTCAAGTGTAATTAAATGACTTACGAGAGCTGTTGGTCCCGTCAAGTGTAATTAAATGACTTACGAGAGCTGTTGGTCCCGTCAAGTGTAATTAAATGACTTACGAGAGCTGTTGGTCCCGTCAAGTGTAATTAAATGACTTACGAGAGCTGTTGGTCCCGTCAAGTGTAATTAAATGACTTACGAGAGCTGTTGGTCCCGTCAAGTGTAATTAAATGACTTAGAGAGCTGTTGGTCCCGTCAAGTGTAATTAAATGACTTAGAGAGCTGTTATGTCTTGTCGAGATGACGTGCTGGAGAAGTAACATGAAGGAGTCGTTGTCCGTCGAGTTGTTAATCATCGCCTGCAGAATATGACCAAGCGACGAGGTGTTGTTCCCCACTCCTAGCGTTGTAGGGTTCGTTCCAATGCCCGGTTCTAGCGTGGACGTTAACACAGCAGCTCTTCTCGATATGTTGGTGGACAGACCTCAAATAACAACATGTTAATGTAAATAAATATAACATTTTTATTTGTTCGGACACTTGTTAAAGTTAAAAGTTGTAAAACAAGCGCCATTGATTTTCGTGACAAAAAATATTCCTTCTTGACGATAATATACTGATAGCTTGAAACGTCACAAAAGAATAATTATGAATCGTCAGATTCAGCATAGCAAACTTTTAGCTATAAGCGACTCTTACTGCGTGAAACCACAGGGGCACGGTTCAATTTATCAATTTATATCTGAGGCCTCCAGGCTCCGAATTGTTTACCATGCATAATGATTATAAATTGAACCGTGCCCATGTGGTGAAACCAATCTCAAACGTTTGACCACGAGTAGCCTTGCTCAAGTCCTTTACTTGAATGAAAGGTTGAATTCCTTATTGATTAAAACACTTGTGATTACATTTATATAATGAATAAGATAGCTGTTGAAAAAGCAGGTTCACCAAAGTCACTATGCAATATTGTCTGAAATAATTCTCTTCATTAAAAAGAACATAAAAAGTATGGGATGGATTAGTATTTTCGCTAACGTTTACAAACATGTTAAATGTCAGCTCGATGCATCGAAGGATTATATTTTGGGTTCCAGTGCATTGGTTAACGAGTGTTCCTCCCCAGACCTTGGTCACATATGTCTAGTACTAGTAATTTGAAATTTCAAGGTTCTTCGGATAGCGTTTGCTCAGAGTTGGGCTTTGTACATTCCGAACCTAAAGTATGCATACATTGTCACACTAGACATATCTTATCATGAAAACGACTACCCATTTTCTTTCAAATTAACATCATTTGTTAGCACTGCACGTACAGGCTTAAAAATAGATCATATGAACTTTTCAGAATAACGCGCTATTGAAACTAAGCTAGCCGTCTGTGTTAACAATTGTCGCCAACGATTTGTACATTTTTATGTATCGGTAAGTTAGTCGTAAAAACACCTTTGTTTCAGAATGACATTAATTTACTATTTTCAAACAATTAACCATTAAAATTATTTGAAAATGAAATCTGTTAAAAACGTCCTACCTTCTCCTTGTTCCACCATCGTCACGAGGAAAACAATAACGCAAACTAAAATCCCTTGGGACATGACAGTTGCCCAGATAGTTCACGAACAAAATGACTGAACAATCGCAAAATCCACAGAATTGACTTTTTATCACTGACGTACTATCTACACCCCTTGACAGTATTCTGGAGCACTAAGTATACTGTCTTCACCCCTTGATGGTATTCTGGAGCAGTAAGTATACTGTCTTCACCCCTTGACGGTATTCTGGAGAACTGCTCGGACAGAGTTTCAGTGTCCGTCTTTGGCGTTCGCTGACTGCGTTAGCACAGGGGCAAGTCATCTGATTGTAATCAATAACGACCATGCAAATAGACAGGGGCGTACATGAGGTTATAGAGTGAACCTGTCTGCATAGGACACTATGCGGGCCGGGTAATTGTGTGTTCGTGGTAGAACCAGAGACAGATAAGCACTAAATTTCGTCTTCACTGACATCAAGCTAGGAAGATCGGATAATTACAAATGGACAACAAAGAAAATATGTCCGATTTGTAGAATTGTAGAATGCTACCTGTGAGCGCCGAAATGGCGGCACCGGCTGTATGCTCCCCAGGGAGTTGAAAAAGATGTTGGCTAGTTGCAAAGGTCCTATAACCACGGATAATAATTTGTGAACCACTTTGAGACGACCTAAGAAACTAGGTTGTGATAAAGCGGTATACATGTATATGTACCTCGAATTATTATTCTTCAGTGCTAAAACGAATACTTTATAAATAAGATTGTCTATTGAGACAGCGTGGCAGTAAACTCCGTTAATCCAGTAGTAAGCGTCGTCACGTCCTCAATATTCTAGGGACTATGTAGAGAGCGTAAGTGAGTGTAATCCCTGGAGTATCGAAGATGACGTCATCCTAGGACCGGGCAATTCTATGGTGTAATGACACTAGTTTTACATCAACGAAGACAGAGTATGGCGGTTGAATCAGTATTACAAGATTTGTGAATACGAGTTTCCCTTATAGTGCGATGGATGCAAGTTACAATTTGTCGTCGTTGATAAAACTCTTGAATATACTGCTTTACAGTAACTAGTATCTTCATCCTAGGAGAGCTAAAGATCCACTAACTGCAACGCCGTCATCATGTGACCTTAACTGTCGAAAGGGCGTCAAACTTTATAAACAACACAAAGTGCATTGTGTTGGGGGGAGATAACTCAATCAAACAAAAAATATATATGTGGCGGATTAAGGCTTTTTCAAGGTCTGAGGTCCCACCGTGCCCCCTTAAGATAAGAAGACTAGAAAAGCACACGCAAAAACAAATAAACGAAAAGCAACAATAACAACAAAATGTAGTTTCTAGAGGACTCTGGATCGAATACTGGCTATACCATGTATGGATTACATGTAGCATGTAGCCTTAAGTTATATTCAAACTATTGCCTAAAATTCAATTGTCCGATCCTTAGCTATGGGCTTTATATCAATATGTCAGATAAGATTCACATATACAATATATTATTTCGTGTCTATGTGAAGCGCGGCATATGTGTTGACATCAGATGTATTACAGTTATCCCCCTTCGTAATAACTCTTTAGCTTTTGTTTACCCTGATCAGCATGTCAGGATTTGTTACTCCTTAAGTACACAAATCGTGTGTAAAAAGAAACGATCTATTGACTGTGTGTCAAATAGTAATGATGATGTATACGTGGAGTGTGGGAAGCCCAGTCTGCTTCAGAGCACAGGGACATGAGAATCAATGCTTGAATTTGTAAAATAAATGGGTCTCCCAGAGGGATGGGACCCAATAAGATAAGAGAGTTGCTGAGCGACAGATCCTATATTTGAAAATATTTGCAGTATAATGTTTAATGTGATCATATTGTCATGATTGTTTATATATCAATGTGAGCGATACAGGCCCTCTGAGCCTCTTGTTTAATCATTTTCGCCTGTAATACGGCTGGCTGTAAAAATAAATTGGCGTGACACCGGGAGACAGTCGGCATAATTAAAATTTTATTTATTTAACTGAAGAATGAAGAGAAATATATATTTTTGCTATTAAAAGAGGTTGTGTGGCATTTTGCACACTATACAGGGTTCTCTTGAACCAAGAGTTTTCGTTTCGTATTTACAACACAGAATTAAAATACTTTGTTGACACAGCAGTTTCTTTTCATAACGATTCAGTAATATTTTGTCCTAAACATAACTAACATTGAAATCAAGATTTCTGTTTGGTCTGGTATTCGATATCTGGAGTTTACGACGACGGTACACTGAGGGTACATACTAGGAGTTTATTATTGGTCCAAATCTACTTATTGTATACAGTTCTTCAGAATATAAATTACCATGGTAAGACAAGACGGAGCCATTCCTATCCAAAAAATAAATGTTACAACGTCACCATTATGACGCCGGACACAATTTAAATTAAAAACATTCAGTGTAACTGATATAAATGTTGTCGTCGGGTTATGTCTTCAATGTAGGACAAGATGAAACAATATCCGAATTATTACCTCAACTCGTATAAAATACTTAAATATCCAACCTCCCTACATATTATTTGTAATCGATATTTTTATTATGAATAAATTCTTCTTCACAAAACTAACCGTGCTAAGTTATCAACGGTAACCTTGTTATGTTGCAAGGAAAGGGAGTGCTACGTGGAGCGGTACACACACAAACGAGGTGGTTAGCATAGCTCAGTAAACAGACACAATAGCTACACACACACATGTGAGTTAATACACAGTCCTGACGATACGTTTGGTGTTCACGCTAACTTGAGCATACGACTTTCGTATCGGGTGTCCAGTCAATATCTTTATTCTGCGATATCGGAGGGTTACATTCAATAATATACCATAAAGGTTACAATATCATTAGCAGACATTCTGTAAATGAACAAACAAGAAATGCATCGTGAGGTTTGTGTTATTGGATTACTGCATATAACGGTAACCAAAATTTACCTTTTGACAATTATGTTTACATTTGTTTTTGCCTGACAATTCAATGCAATCTAGAGGAATGTTGGTTTCGTATGTAAACTCATTTATATACTACCATTTACCTTGCTTAGTCATGGACAGCCAACTCATGCGTTATTTCGAGCAATCCATGTACACCTTTTGAGGAAATTGGGTAGCCCTGAAAAGGGCTTTTGTGTGGGGTTAAGAAGAGTTACTTTCGTGTTCACTTCTTTGCGGCTTTCTTGGCTGCTGGCTTCTTTGCTGCGGGCTTCTTTGCCTTCTTGGGTGATTTTGGCTTGCTTGCCTTGGGCTTCTTGGCTGCTGGCTTGGCTGCTTTCTTGGCGGCGGGCTTTTTAGCTGCGGGCTTCTTTGCTTTCTTAGCTGCAGGTTTCTTGGCCTTAGCTGCTACGGGCTTCTTGGGCTTCTTCACGGCTGCCTTCTTCGCTGCGGGCTTCTTAGGCTTGGTCGCCTTGACTTTCTCTCCAACCTTGAAAGATCCAGAGGCACCGGTTCCCTTCACTTGTTTCAGGGCTCCCTTTGCTACTCCAGACTTCAGAGCAGTCTTCACTCTGGTGTTGACTTTGTTTTCATCGGTTCCAACCTTGTAGTTGGCCATGATGTATTTGATCATAGCCTTCCTGGAGGATCCTTTCCTTTCCTTCAGAGCCGTGATAGCTTTGATGACCATGTCGGCGAATGATGGGTGAGGTAATGGTACCTTTGGTTTGGCTGGTTTCTTGGCCTTGGTCGCCTTCTTGGCCGGAGCCGGTGCTGTTGCTGCTGCTGCGTCAGACATCGTCGTGGTTTTAGTGCTCTCGTAACCGTAGTCAGAATGAGAATGCCCAAAAATTTTGAGCTGCGCGTATATATTAATTTTGCTCGCACCTCGTCGAAGACACCCCTTCCAAAAGTGCTCGCTATTCAATTGATATCCCATGTTTTGCGTAGAATGTGTTTCCTTACCTAAATACTATCGTCTATAAAATACTGTTTGAATTACTGATATGACATTATATTTGATTTTCTGAGAGAAAGGAAATTAAAGTTTAAAATTTCATGATGAAAATGTCTATTAATTTGTACAAAATATTGTTTCAAGCAGTTTTTCGACCACTTTCCATTACTTGATAGTGTACATGCTGCTGAAAAATGCCATTTATACAAATATCTGTGTGAATCAACAGGTAAATAACTACAGAAAATCAAAATTCAAGGTTTAATGAAACCGATCGCAGTTGCTTTCCTGTGAAATACTCGTAAATTATCAAATAACAAGCAAATGAAATGGTCGATAGAAACACAAATACACAGGTGTGAGCGCCATTCTCAGTCGCCGCGTATTCCTATGTTTATGAAGTTTTTTTGTGGTTTATTACCTTTTATATATAACCAGGGTGTTACAATTCCACACAAATACATATAAGATTATGCTTTTTACCCAACTTTGATTTTAAGAGTGCATTTATTGTGATTTGTGGAACAATTCTCAATGAACTTCAGATTGGACAGACGGTAGAAAAATTTACAAAATGGCGAACCGCTACGTTCATTTTTACTCGACAAATATTGAGACATCTTCTGTTGATGTCTATGTATTTACGTTTTTATTTCAAAGTATGGTTTATTGTTAGTTTTAGGTATCTAGTCAATATGTATTTTAGACTATATATTCCTATTTTGATTTTCAATATTAGCCTTAAAGAGGATGGTTTTTCCTCAGGCGACCAAAAGCCGAACGCGATGTACAGAATGGGCATACATCTGGGCACATGAGTCTGAAATTCTGCCAATGATAAACCCTTTAACCTAACATAAAATTTAAAAAAATACCCCTATAACATAATCGTATTTTTTATTTTATTTTTATATTTTCTTTATTATTGACAGAATATAAAAGGCAGACGTATACATATATACATGTACGACGGTACACATCTCACGTATACGTGTGACTAACAATTGTTTAGCTTTTGAAATTGACACACAAAGGTTATTTTATAACAGATTAGCTACACTGATCAAAATAAGTCGGATAACATAAACAAAATGTATATACTTCTGCCAATTAACCGGTAGATTTAGTTGTAGACTTATATATATGCGTGTGTGTTATATAAATGTACGAGTGTGTCACTATATTTTCTTGGTATGTGACTGATTTTGATTATAGAAGTCGGATGAAAATGTCTTCAACATTTTAGTTATCATTGCACTTAATACTTGAAAAAATACAGTTTTCGAGCTGAAAACATACCACACTACAACAAGAAATACAATATAGTTGTGGAATTGTCAGTAAATATAATTAGGTCGGGGTTTCATGGGTGTTTATATTACGAATCGGGGATCGTACCTTTTAGTTTTAGTAAAACTTTTTTCTTCATTTAGTTAATAATAAGTTTCTCCTTATTCATGTGTTAAACTAATTATTAAGAATTATGAAAAAAAACATGTTTAATATAATATATAGTCGTATTGCTGAATTCATAATGTATGCGTGCACGTGTGCCTATAATTAATGGGACACCATTGTACAATATTTAATCCCTATTTTGTGATATCAAAAAGTCACTTATTCTTCTGGTATTATAGAAATCTTTTTAGATATATAAAAAAATCGAATTTTTCTACCCAAAACATATATATTTTTATATCAGAAAAAATATTTTTTTTAGTATAAGAAAATAGGGAATGGTCAAATAGTAAAATGGCGTTCCATACCTATGTTAAGTTGTTATTGTATCGCATTTGACGCACACTATTTTATGATGATAATAACACAAATGTTTATAAAAAAAAATCAGTTTAAATGGTAGTATATAATACTGTACTTTGAAATCTTAATTTTTATGACAGAGGTCTGAAATATTATGAATGTGCACTGTATAATTAAATAGTATAAACCTCGTTATAATGTCAAATTGATCCGACCAATTTTAGCGTCATAAAGGGGGTTGCTGATATAACGGGAGGCACATACAACGTATAATAAATGAAAAGAGGAACATGAAATACGTTAACGTAGGCGATCGAGGTAGAAATTAAATAAAATGAGAGACTTTTTGTCGAGTCACGGTTTTCGTTGTGCCATGACTATATCTAAGGGGTTGTCGTTGTGCCATGACTATATCTAAGGGGTCTCAAGGTGCACTTTTTTCAGATTTTCAGGTGATAATACCCTTCCATATAACAAGTATGTAATTTCAGTCAACCATGCCTTCAGTTTTGACATGACATATTCGAGGGTTGCAGAGAGCGTAGCCCCTGGAGTATCGAGGATGAAGTGAGCGTAACCCCTGGGGTATCGAGGATGAAGTGAGAGTAACCCCTGGAGTATCGAGGATGAAGTGAGAGTAACCCCTGGGGTATCGAGGATGAAGTGAGAGTAACCCCTGGAGTACCGAGGATGAAGTGAGAGTAACCCCTGGAGTATCTAGGATGAAGTGAACGTAACCCCTAGAGTATCAAGTGTGGGGAGAGTAACCCCTGGAGTATCGAGGACGAGGTGAGCGGAGCCCCTGGAGTATCGAGGATGGGGTGAGAGTAACCCCTGGAGTATCGAGGACGAGGTGCGCGTACCCCCTGGAGTATCGAGGATGAAGTGAGAGTAACCCCTGGGGTATCGAGGATGAAGTGAGAGTAACCCCTGGGGTATCGAGGATGAAGTGAGAGTACCCCCTGGAGTATCGAGGATGAAGTGAGAGTACCCCCTGGAGTATCGAGGATGAAGTGAGAGTAACCCCTGGGGTATCGAGGATGAAGTGAGAGTACCCCCTGGAGTATCGAGGATGAAGTGAGAGTAACCCCTGGAGTATCGAGGATGAAGTGAACGTAACCCCTAGAGTATCAAGTGTGGTGAGAGTAACCCCTGGAGTATCGAGGACGAGGTGAGCGTAGCCCCTGGAGTATCGAGGATGGGGTGAGAGTAACCCCTCGAGTATCGAGGACGAGGTGAGCGTAACCCCTGGAGTATCGAGGATGAAGTGAGCGTAACCCCTGGAGTATCGAGGATGAAGTGAGAGTAACCCCTGGAGTATCGAGGATGAGGTGAGCGTAACCCCTGGAGTATTGAGGATGAAGTGAGCGTAACCCCTGGAGTATCGAGTAACCCTAGAGTATCGAGGATAAAGTGAGAGTAACCTCTGGAGTATCGAGGATGAAGTGAGAGTAACCCATGGAGTATTGATGATGGGGTGAGAGTAACCCATGGAGTATTGAGGACGAGGTGAGCGTTGCCCCTGGAGTATCGAGGATGAAGTGAGAGTAACCCCTGGAGTATCGAAGACGAGGTGAGAGTAACCCTGGAGTATCGAGGATGAAGTGAGAGTACCCCCTGGAGTATCGAAGACGAGGTGAGAGTACCCCTGGAGTATCGAGGATGAAGAGAGCGTAACCCCTGGAGTATCGAGAATGAAGTGGGGGTAACCCCTGGAGTATCGAGAATGCAGTGGGAGTAACCCCTGGAGTATCGCGGATGAGGTGACCGTAACTCCTGGAGTATTGAGGATGAAGAGAGCGTAACCCCTGGAGTATCGAGGATGAAGGGAGAGTAACCCATGGAGTATCGAGGACGAAGTGAGCGTAGCCCCTGGAGTATCGAGGACGAGGTCAGCGTACCCCCTGGAGTATCGAGGATGAAGGGAGAGTAACCCATGGAGTATCGAGGTTGAAGTGAGAGTAACCCCTGGAGTTTCGAAGACGAGGTGAGAGTAACCCTGGAGTATCGAGGACGAAGTGAGAGTAGCCCCTGGAGTATCGAGGACGAGGTCAGCGTACCCCCTGGAGTATCGAGGATGAAGGGAGCGTAACCCCTGGAGTATCGAGAATGCAGTGGGAGTAACCCCTGGAGTATCGCGGATGAGGTGACCGTAACTCCTGGAGTATTGAGGATGAAGAGAGCGTAACCCCTGGAGTATCGAGGATGGGGGGAGAGTAACCCCTTGAGTATCGAGGATTACGTGAGCGTGACCCCTGGAGTATCGAGGATGCAGTGAGCGTGACCCTGGAGTATCGAGGATGAAGTGGGAGTAACCCATGGAGTATCGAGGTTGAAGTGAGAGTAACCCCTGGAGAATCGAGAATGAAGTGGGAGTAACCCTGGAGTATCGAGGATGAAGTGGGAGTAACCCATGGAGTATCGAGGACGAGGTTAGCGTAGCCCCTGGAGTATCGAGGATGAAGTGAGAGTACCCCCTGGAGTATCGAAGACGAGGTGAGAGTACCCCTGGAGTATCGAGGATGAAGAGAGCGTAACCCCTGGAGTATCGAGAATGAAGGGGGAGGAACCCCTGGAGTATCGAGAATGAAGGGGGAGGAACCCCTGGAGTATCGAGAATGAAGGGGGAGGAACCCCTGGAGTATCGAGAATGAAGTGGGGGTAACCCCTGGAGTATCGAGAATGAAGTGGGGGTAACCCCTGGAGTATCGAGAATGCAGTGGGAGTAACCCCTGGAGTATCGAGGATGAAGAGAGCGTAACCCCTGGAGTATCGAGAATGCAGTGGGAGTAACCCCTGGAGTATCGAGGATGAAGTGAGAGTAACCCATGGAGTATCGAGGATGGGGTGAGAGTAACCCCTTGAGTATCGAGGATGACGTGAGCGTGACCCCTGGAGTATCGAGGATGAAGTGAGCGTGACCCTGGAGTATCGAGGATGAAGTGAGCGTAAATGGAGTATCGAGGATGCTTTATTCGGCGTCATCTATCTAACCGCCTACTTGGAGAACGGTGAGTTTAAGTATTTGTGAAGAAAGACATACTGATATTTATGGTATCTTGATTCCACTCTTTGGCGCAATTTTTCATATTTTTCATCCATGCT